TATGAAATGCAAATGGTAATGCTAATGTGAATGAAATGAAACATAAGCTAGGTAAAGAAAAGTTGGTCAAATTTTGGGGTGCAACACCTGGTACAAAGGACTCCCTGGCGATTCCATCACCTCATGGAGACAACTGGAGAGATTGTTCTCCAGATAATTCACGACCTCTCGCCGCCATCCAAAAATCGAATCCTCCCTTGAGGCCATCATTCAAGGGAGAGATGAACCCTTGCGAGCCTACATCGAACGGTTCAATAAGAGGGTCATCCAGGTTTCTACAACTGATGACATGAAAAACTTTATGTTAGAGCGCGGGCTCCGTCCCCGCACCGAATTTGATAAAACCACGGGCATCCGGCCCCCAACAACGCTAGACACTTTCCTCCTCAAAGCACAAGCGTACATTCAATATAAAGAGAAGGAGGCCGCCAACTCTTCCCGTGATTCTAGGCACAAGGAGAATGCCCAAACCTCCAGGTCTGACGAGCCCTCGACATCCCGTAGGGGAGATACAAGATGAGGAGACCGTCCCCAAGAGCGCCGGGACAACAAGGGGCCTTCCAGCTGATTCCACGAATACACTTCCCTGACAGTTTCGAGAGAGAAGGTTCTTTTTGAATGTGCCAAATTTGAATTTCGGCAGGCAGGAGTCCGGTTCCCAAAGCAGATACCGTCCAAACCCAACACTGACAAGTCGAAATATTGCCGGTTCCACAAGAGCCACGATCATATGACCGAAAAAAAGACACTCTTCAGCCAGATGCCCAGGAATCCCAGAAGGTCGAGGAAGAAGTACCTTCCTCCAAGGAAGCCAGCCTTCAGGTTGCTATGAGCATCTCACGGCCTGAAGATTTTTCCATCCCTGAAGGGGCTCAGCGCCCCTCCATATTTCGCTGTGCACAACCCGTTTCCTCTCTGCCATGGTCATCTCCAAAGGGGGCTTCAACAAAGTCATGGTAGGATCCGTCAAAAGAAAATTTGAGCACCTAATTAGCAACAACTCAAACCAAAATTCCACTCTCGATAGGGTCCGGGGAGAGTCTGTCCCCATCTACTTCTACCGCGAGGAGCTCCTCGGTGGAGCCCCCTACTCCAGCATCCCTCTGCTCGTGAGAGCCTAGATGGAAAATTTTGACGTCTGACGAATCCTCGTCGACCAAAGCAGCTTAGTTGATATTATGTATTCCCAGTTGTTTTCCACCCTCTAGTTGAACGAATCACATCTAAAACGCTACGTATGCTCCGATCTGCAGGGTTTTAATGGATCAGTGACAAAGCTCTGGTGTTACATGGAGATGATCGTAACTTTCAGATCTGCTGAAATGGCCAGGTCAATCAAGGTCCAATCGATTGCCCGTCGCTATACCAGTGCATCTTCGACCGATCAACCCTTGCTGAATTGGTGGATGTACTATCAACAATACACTTGAAGATGAAATACTATACTTTGAAGGGTCTCGTGGCGACTCTACACGAAGACATTGAAGCCGTGAGGAGGTGTTTTGAAGCGGCCTCCAAGGTGCTGAATTCCATCGCCGCCAAGCCGAAGACTCCAAGCAAGACTTCTCCGCCCAAAAGTGTCGAAGAGATGAAGCCGCTGCCCAACTTCGACTCCATCGACCTTAATAGCCACTTTTCGAAGAAGACCAGAAAATTCAGAAGGCAAAGGGGAAAGAGATCCAGTCATCCTCGAGCATCCCCTCCAGTAGCGGTAACTGATGTAAGTGGTAAGCCTTTGGATTCTACACATCCAAGCGAATGTCCTTCTCTTAGCATGCAAAGATTCATAAAGGAAAAAGTGGAATTTCTCTACACTTAGTTAAAGCTTATTCCTTCATGACATTTCAACTCTCTTATAAAGGAAGATGTGGCATTGCTGGATTCCACACATCCCAGTTAAAGAAACTTCCCTTATAATCAATTCCTCAAAGATTGTGATGAATAGGTGAGATATCTCCCTTTAGAGATGACACATTCTCTCTAAAAAAAATACTCTTTTAGCTTCAATCTTGGACTTTGAACAAGACACAAATACTCTTTTAGCTTCAATCTTGGGCTTTGAACAAGACACGCACACTTTTTAGCTTCAATCTTGGGCTTTGAACAAGACACCAAATGTTTTTCCTCCCATAGAATAGGAGGAACTACGAACACTCTGATTTCCCTAAATCTCTTTACGGGAATACGTAGGCATAAGATTGCGAAAATCTTAGTGAGCGCACTAATCAAAAACCTTAGGTCCAGATACCTTTCCAAAAATAATAGAAAATCTTAAAACAACAAAAACATTTCCTCAACCCTCCCAAAGGAGAAACTTTTCCCACCTGACAGCAAATAGACTCAAGAAAGCAATTCAAACAGTAAAAACATATGTAAATAAAGGTTCTTATAGATTACTATAGATACTCTGGGTGTTAATAGCTTCCTTTTGTATAACCAATCCCCGATTCCATATCTCTTCGCATTTGTAGGGAAAACACTTGCGCACAGGGTTAGTTTAAGATATCTCCCCCTTCCTTTTAAGCTTCATAGTATAAATATAGAGATAAGAAAGTAGCACCAAAAGCGGTAGTGGCCGCGTCATAAAAACCGATGCTACAATAGTCTAGACAATCTCATGTACAAATGTAACGCTACATCTTTGAACGTTTCCGCCATGAGTTTATATTTCAGGGAGTCGGTGTCATACCCCAATTTTGTTCTACCTATTTAGTATTACACTCATTTATATGCATATAACCATTTCATTTAGCTGCTTTCCAAGTTCTCAATAATGTCACCTTTGTTTCCTTTTTTTCTTGCTTGATCTTGCTTTAGTCTTAGTGCATCATATTCTTTAACATATTATCTGACCATTGTGCATTCAAAAATATAAAAAAAAAAACATGTTGCATTTGTTTTTCTTTCTTGTGTGGATCAGGGTTTGCAAGGAGGTATCAAGGAAGGATCATTACTTCAAGTCAAGCTATTTTGAAGGAAAATGTGCATCAAATTCCAAGTGTCTTGTGTTGAAAATCAATAAGTGATCAAGCATTGATTCTATTAGGGTTTTGGTTCAAAAATAAAATTCCTTATGATTCAAGTGGCCATATGTTCAAGTTTGCTTCATTTTTGGATTCATTTCTCAAGGCATGACCTCTAATTCTAGGGCATGTTCATAACATTGTCAAAGAAGCTTCAAATGTGAAATTTGGTACAACATGGTTTAAGTGGAAAGTAAGGCATTCAAATTGTCCAAATTCTCTTTCAAGATTGATTAATGGAGAATTCAAGGCCTTAGTTCATCCATTTTGAGTTTGGTTTCTAATGGAGAATTCAAAATTGGTGTGAATTGATTCCAAGTAGACATTGTCATACAAGCTTTCAAAAAACCCAAGAACATATTCAAGCATGGATGAAGCAACTTAAACATGGCATAACTACATAAGTCAATTCGGTTTCTAAACATCATTGGCATCAAGATTTCAATGCAAGTAAATTCCATTCAAATTGCAAATTAAAGGATTCAAAGTGGCATGCAAAGAAGGTGCAAATAACACACATTCAAGCCCAATACAAGTTGTATTACACGCAGGAATTATTTATAAATAACACAAGACTTACAAGAGAAGCCCAAATAGAGATACAAGTTACAAGCATAATCCAAAATACAAGCAATGTAATTTCAAACTGCAATACAAGGCAAACATGATACAAAACGCAACAATAATGTGATTCCAAAGTCCAAAATGCAGTAGCAACACATGAAATTGATAAAACAAATTTATGCTAAAAATTCCTAATCTACCCCTTATTCTCATCTATAAATCAACAACACCATTCACAAGCAGCGGACCTTGGTTTTGATTCTTCATGCACAAAAGACCACTCTGCATCATCAATTTAATTAGCTACAACACCCTCTTCCTTTTATCACCATCATATTTCCTCCATTGTAAAAAAGCTCCACCTTGCACCTTCAAACAAACAACCAAATAGCACAACAACAAAGTTCAGATCACCTTCGCACAAACCCACATGACAATCCACCTTCAACAAACAAAAACTCTGAACAACTACAAACTCCCTGCAAAATCTTCCTCAATCATATATATATATATATATATATATATATATATATATATATATATATATATATATATATATATATATATATATATATATATATATATATATATATATATATATATATATATATATATATATATATATATATATATATATATATATATATATATATATATATATATATATATATATATATATATATATATATATATATATATATATATATATATAGAGAGAGAGAGAGAGAGAGAGAGAGAGAGAGAGAGAGAGAGAGAGAAGATCAACTTACTTCAAGAGTAAGTTTTTTTAACTTACTCCATAGGATAGCCTTTGAATTGAACCTAATCTAATGGTTAATTAAGTAAAAAATCTTATTAACCATTGGATTAGATACAATTTAAAGGCTATGATTTACAATAAATTAAAAACACTTACTCATGGAGTAAGTTGATCCCCACTTTTATATATATATATATATATATATATATATATATATATATATATATATATATATATATATATATATATATATATATATATATATATATATATATATATATATATATATATATATATATATATATATATATATCAAATCAAATCAAATAATTTAATTATTTAAAATATTTGTATGAAGGAAATGATATTGAATCGTGTAACCATTTCTTTTTCCAATTCCACCTTTTTTTTCTTTTTTTAATCAATAATAAACCTTTTATATATAAGTTTTTTTTTTATAAAACAGAAATTAAAATTTAGTGTCAGAAAAAAATCATACATATTTTAGTGCAACTCACAATAACATTACGTTATTTTTCAATATATGAAGGCAAGACATGTTCTTTGATGGATACTATTTTATTTTGAACGTGAGTCCAATTACTTGGTTTTATTACAATGAGAGAAATTGACATTCGTATAATTATAAGGGATCAAAGTCCAGCAAATTTGTCCAGTGGAGACTCTTGTGTTCCAGTCGAATGTTGATAATTGACATAATCATCATACACAAACGGGCGGTATCGAAGAGGATTTTCATCATCCACAAGCTCAGATGGCCCCGTAATGATCATACCTTCCCTTGGCACTGCAAAAAATACAAATGCAAATCTCTGTTCATCCCTTGCCACCACTCTGTGTGTGGCTGCCTCAAGTCTCCTATTACTCCATGCCTGTATTAAGCATTGAAATTCTTCTAATTAAACTCATTCTAAAATTTGATGAATGATAAAATTATAAGGAGAATGATCTCAAATTCGATTTCTTCACTATAAATTGATATTAATTACCTGTAATATATCACCAGCAACTACCACAAAGCCATTTGGGGGAATATTTATGTCAACCCAATTGCCTATTTTGGGTAGCAATTGCAGACCTTGGACTCCATTGTCACATATGAAGGAAATAGTTCCTTTGTCGGTGTGAGCTACCAAACCAATATTAGAACCCTTGGTCTCTTTAGAAGTTGAGTACCTAGTCATTCGTGCATCATTGTAGCAATTCAACTCTTCAACATCCAAGTTGTAATGTTGTGGAAGTTCGAAGGCTTCCACAACCATCTTCAAAATAAGTGAACTTAGTTCACGAACTTTTGAGGTATAAGAACTTAGGACCGCACTGCATATATCACATATTTTTTCCCATTCTATTATCATATAACAAATTAATTTGAAACAAAATATGCCAAAGTAACTTTCCTCGAAATAATTCTAAAAGATAATATATATATGGTAAATTAAGAATAAATTTTTTAATGTGAAATTATTCAATTAAAAGTCATACATGCCTAGCAAGCCTGTATGTGTGTGGGTGAGTTTGTGACGTATTTTAATATAATATAATAAAACATTATTACCCAAAAGATGAATTTCCTTGAGGCCACATGAGATCAATGAAGTCTTGGTGGGCTGTATCTGGATTAACATCATTATCAATTCCAAAGGATTCAGAATAGGGAATGACATTATTTTTTGTAGTGTATCCTCTATAAGCCCTTGAGCTAGTGAACTTCTTCTTAGTTTCTTCAGGTAAATCAAACAATGATTTCATGCCTAAGAAAAATTTATCATGTAAATCATTAGAGATATCATCACACCTAATGAGAAAGCAACCATGACTCTCAAATGCTTCTCTCACTTTCTTGCTCATTTCTTTCCACCCGTCACCTTCTTCTAACTTCACTCCATCGCTACTATTAAAATCCAAAATTGGAATCTCAATCTCACCACCCATTTCCTTTTTCTTTTTTTCTCTTGCACTATATTTTGTTATTTATATTGTATTGTTTTCAATAGAGACATATATATATATATATATATATATATATATATATATATATATATATATATATATATATATATATATATATATATATATATATATATATATATATATATATATATATATATATATATATATATATATATATATATATATATATATATATATATATATATATATATATATATATATATATTAAAAAGATAAGTTACTTATGTTAATAAAATTGTTTTATCTAGAAACACTAATAAAAAGATTAACATGAATTTTGATGTAATAGATACATTAATTTGTTTTATCTAGAAACTCTAATAGCAAGATTAACATGAATTTTGATGTCAATTTAAGTTAAATTGTATTTCTTTTAATAAATACAAAATAGCTAAGGAATATAAAAATAAATTTCTTTTTAAATTGAAATATACTAAAAATAAATTTCTTTTTAAATTGAAATATACTAAAAATAAAATGATAATAAAAAAGTAGGTTTAAATTCACTTTTATTCTATTTATTTTGATTTTTGTAAGTTTTAGTTCTCATTTAAAAAACATTAAGCCTTTTGGTCAATCTATTTAACTTTTATTTTTTTATTTTTGGATTTTTTTTGTCCCATTTTAGTTTTGTGTAATTTTGTGACGTGGCCCTGACATGGCTTTGTCTGCACCACATCACACATTTTCAGTCACTTTATAGTTTTTTAAAAAAGTTAATTTAAAAATATTATTTAATACAAAACTAAATGTTTATTTTGGCCCTTTACAAAACTTACTGAATCCAATTTAATCCTTAAGAAAAAAAGGATCATATTTAATTTCTTACAAAATTTAACCGGATTATGTTAATATTTTTCTCAAATCGGTTTTTTCCTACTTTTAAAATGACTGGACTGTCATGTGTATTATATATGTCACATGCATTTTTTAATAATTATGTGGATAGCTACATTGAATGTTTTTTATTTTTTAAAAACTAAATTGATTTTTATTTTTAATTTCAATTTTATTCCTAAACAATTCAAATTTGAAAATATCAAGAAAAAAAAAAGCAAAAATTTATTCATAAAGCCCAACTTCCTTAAGGTTAAATGGTAGTCACTTTACCTCTAGGCCGATATGTAACACCCCGTATAATATAAATATAGAATAATAATCCAAGTGCCTAACGACGTCATTTACATACATGTCCAAAATACTCAAAGTACATCATAAGACACATGATATAAAGAGTGACTAATCAAAATACTAAGATATATACAATGAAAACTATCTTGAAACATCTAAATCTTCGAAACATATTTGCATGACTTTACCTTAGCCATTATACTGCCTTGAATTACCTGAAATTTTAACAATATACCAGGGTGAGATACTAATCTTAGTGGATTCTCCTATCTTATGGGTTCACTCGTCTCTAAAGGGACTATCAAACGATGTCTTAACTTAATCCTGTCTACTTTATAATACTTGTGTACACTTACACAACAGATTGATGTTTTAGTATCTGAGGGGCTTTTCGTCTCGTATGGAAATACATAACTTGAGTCCACATAACTCAATGAGTCACTATGCAAGTATGCACACAAAGTAACTTTCCCCGATGGATCCCATGTCTGGGACTCTAGACACAGGTTACAACTCTTTGTCACATCAAACAACTTTCCCTGGCCTATCCTACACCTAAGAAATGAGACATGGGTCACGGAGGTATGCTTAATAAGTAATGTCTTTCCGCAACAAGCACCTCTCTCATAGGTCAAGGCACAGGTTACAAGATCCATCTTAAATGATTCATCTTATACTGTGAAATTTTAATCCTCCATGGGACTCTAACCTACTTTAATGATCACTCCTCGTATGAGAGTCTAACCCACTTTAAGGATCATTTCTCATATGATACTCTAACCCACTTTGAGGTTCACTCCTTGTATGGGACTCTGCCTCACTTTGAGCTTTACTCCTCATATAGGACTCTAACCCACTTTGAGGATACATATAAATGGTTTGTCTAATTTACATAAGAGTCAGTTTCGAGATTATCACGAAAAAGGATTTTTTTTTCCTAATATGTGATTATTCTCATCAATTGTGTGATTATACTCATCAATCACTTAATCATAACATGTTTCCATACAAGACCCATTATCTCACAAATACACATCGTTCACCATCCTTGCCATCCGACATTCTCGTAGAAGGAACAATTGATATCAAGCAATTACTCATTCATGGGTACCTCTGACGTACCTATCGCGTTTGAGTATCACAACCTAAGTTATTTATCATAACCTAAGTTATCTTTACTAATTATATTCACCTAGTTATGATTCTGAGTTTAGTCCCACTCATCATCATAGAATTTGACCAATTATTATTCATTCAATGCAAACATATCATAATATATTTCATAAAGCATACATGATACTTCACTATCATTCACCAAACATATTTAGTCTACAAGCATGGTTTTTACTTCACCATACGGTAGAGCATTAAATTAGCATTTCAACGCATCCTACCGTATTTCGTTACGAGTTAAAAATCTCAAGTTATGAGGTCTTAAGAAAGTGTGCCTCTCCTGATTCGAATTAAACGTGGAAAAAGGCTTTTTTTTAAAGGAATTTTTGACTTCTGATTCGAATCAGGTTAAAACCTTGATTCAAATCAACTTTGGCTTAGCCGAAATTCTCAACTTTCTTCCAAAAAATCTCACTTTCAAACCCATCTTCTTCAACCTCTAACCATCAAAACTATAATGAATCATATTACGACATATTCAATCATTTCATACCATGAATTTAACATCATAGAAGACATATATACAACCATTTCAATTCATCACCATGAAATTCATAACAACCTTCTTCTTGTGAGTAGAATGAATTCATAACAACAACACAACTTCATATTATCAACATGTCATGATATCAAGAAACAAAAACAACAACAACATATCTTCACACATGTTCCCAGAACAAAAAAAAAACATCAACACAAAATTAACTTCATGGATTAGAAACAACAACAACACAACAAGAAATCATGCCTCAAGAAAATAACGACAACAACGTAGTTTCTTAACATATTCTCATAACATCCACACAACCATCAATACACAACATATCATCATGAGTTAATAATAATAACACAAGACTGTCATACCCTAACTTTTATCCCTAAGGTCCCACCTTATTTTCATCATTTCAATAGAATCAAGAGTCATACCCCAAATTTTGACCCCTAGATTCCATTATCATTCTAGGTGCATCAAGCATATGTTATCTAACCCTAAACTCTTTCAAGTTGGTCTTTGCCAAGATGCAGATGAATTAGGGTTTCACACTGTGAAAATCAAGAATCCTGTGGACTGATCAGTCAAGGTTTTGGATTGATCTTCTAAATATTAAGTCTTCATATCATCAAGAGGTTCATATCCTGCCAAGAACAAGTGATATTTGAGGCTGTTACCAAGATAATTGAAACAGTGGTGTGCAAAACCCTGATTAGGGTTTCTAGTTGAAAAACTCAAATGTAGTTTGAGTTTTGGTCTAAATGATCTTCTAAAGCTTGAACCATGGTCGATGATGTTTATATGACCTATTGAAGTCCCCTCAAGAGGTATGAAAAGTTTGAAAGACTCCAGAACACTAAGGATCAATCCTGAAGATTTCAACTGTTCGGTTCGTCTGTCTGAAAAGTCAACTCTTTGACTTTTAGGATTTTGACCCCAAATTGAAGAAATCAAGGTTTCCAACATCATTTTATGCCTAACTAGTGATTTTGGTAAATATTTAATCAAGAATTTATGAATAACTTATGAATCAAGAAATTAGGATTTATGAAAAAACCCTAATTGCAAGCTAATTTGGATTGATCATAACTTTCAAACCACACATCCAAATTGAGCGGTCCAAAGCTGTTTAGAAAGCTCTTGAGAAGTCTTACAAGATTTTCCTAGAGGGTTGAGGTCCAAAAATTCCTATATTTGGAGTTATGAGCTCATCAAGTTGTGAAGGATTTCCACACTTAGAAAAATTTCTTGTTTCTTGGCTTGTAAGTTAACTTTTGCAACAAACTTCATGAGGATTTTTAACATAGTTGCCTTTGGAATTTGAAATCTGGCTAAACATGGATATTGTAAATCATATTTGGGGATTTTTAAAAAGTACAAGATCATTTTATCAACCTTTGTGGTTAGGGAGAATCGAAGAGGACAAGTTGGGGGGTTTTTCATGTCACAAAGCCAAGTTCAGCACTTGCATTTTGATGCATAAACCACTCAAACCTCTTATAATGACTTGCTTAACTCATTCTTTGATGCTTAGGAACTTAATTGATGATATTAAAATGCATTGCCACGAGCAAAAACCAAATTTTGGATTAATTGAATTGTTTATTCTTGCAAGTGGATGCAAGTGGCAATGAGAGAGAAACGTTTTGCAAATATTGTCACAACTCAGCTACTACATAAGCTACACTCTTTCCTTCACTTAATGTCAACTATTATCAGGCTATTGATGATGATGAAACACATAGGAAGGTGGCTCATGCTCAAAAAAGAGATCCCAAGTTGGATTTGCTTATTTTGCCTCCAAAAAGGGCAAACTTGGCAAGTTGGCACAATCTTTCCATACTTCTCATCCTCCAAGCTTGCCTATAGATAAAACATACTCCTCACATCCAAACAACACCATAATAAACTATAAACCAAGTTGAACCTCTCTCATTTTTTTGATCACAACCTTCTTGCAAGTGGTAGAAGCTTTCCTCTTTGTGAAGAAATTATGCCTTTGCATAAACTCATCCAAAACCCTTTCCAATCACCAAACCATCAAGGAAATCAATATAACACATCACAAAACATGGGTTAGATGTGTTTAAACCATTACAACCATCCCAAACCTGCTAGAACAGAAAGTTAACTCCTATACCATTAAATTTTGACTTCTCTGCAC